TGCTCGGAAAGGGGCATAGGCTGGTTTCACAAAGGGTTCGCAGAACACACTGTTCTTCACAGGTGACCGTGGCAGAACGAGAAAATCCTGACAGAAGTTGTTCCAAAAGGCCAACTTTTCCAGACAGTAATTGGAAGTTTCACTTCTAGGCAGACTTTTATTTTAACCATTATGAACCCAATCCTTTTCAGAGGAGTCACTCACTTCTCCGACTTCTAAAGGAAAAAGGGATCAAGAAACATCACCCTTGAGGATTCGGGGTCATCACGATAGACATTGTGACGCTGATGCTGTGCACGTAGAACCAGCAGGGTGTACACAGCAGCTGCGCTCTGTGCTCTGCGGGTCTTCTGTTAGCTTTCCAGATGCTTCTTCCTTCTCTCCTTAGCTGTGTACCCCCATGGCTGCTCCCAGCGCACAGTTCCTTCAGTGGCCGCTCTTGGCCTCCTGGGTTGAACAGAAGTGAGGGACACTTGGAAGAAAGAGCTGGGAATGCCATACAAAGGCCCACAGTGGTCTCAATGAATCAGCCCTAAGTCAAAGCACTAACTCTACTCAGAGAACTTTGTTTGCCTATTTACCTCTGCCCAGGAGCTGAGTTCCAACACGAAGACTGACACAAATGTTGGCCTTCCTACAGCCTCCGCCTGGACCAAGACAGCCAACAGAAGGGGCCTCAGACAAAGGCCACGTCCATGACCAAGGCTAGCAGGTGCCTGGGCCCATTTCTTAGAGTCACTGGAATCGTCCACTCCTCCGCTCTCAGGGGAAGGGGCCTGGAGACCTCACAGCAACTCTTCGAGGCCACCCCACTGACACACCAGCCAGCAGAGACTTCCACTCTTGAAGAAAAGGCCCCAGGGCTGGGGAGGCGGCCTCTGTCCTGTTTGGCCCTAGAAAAGGCCTCAGGCTCCTACTCTTCACCCCGAGGGTTCTGGGCAGGCAGGCTGGCATATTCCCCACTGCCGTCCCCACAGAGGCGCCCACAGGAGCCGGGCGTGCCGGGGACTCACTGGCTGCTCCCTGCTAATCAGCACCTTATAAGAACAGCATGTTCACCATCAGCTGGCACCTGTTGCTCCAAGCGTCACAATCACTCCTCAATTCTCACCGGACAGAGGTTTTCACTGATTTGAGATCCTACCCTGAAAAGCCTTGCCCAGGACCAGCGTCGCCCAGGACCGGCGCCGCCCAGCGCCTCCCTGCAGCTGCCGCCGCAGCGCCTGCAGAGGCCCAGTCCACGCTCTGGGTGGTCACTGCACACCGCTCGGAAATCGTGGGGAATCCGCGTGCCTTGAGCTTTTTAGAAAATCCTACATTGACTTAAGATCATCCACTATCTAAAATACAAAGACCAACAAGCAGCACAGATAGAAGACCGCAAAATGGGAAGCTGCTTCAAGAAATCAATCATGAACCTGACATTCATTCCCTCTAACTCAGTTACTAGTTTTAATCACTGAAAACCCAAAACAGCACTTGACACTTACGAGTTCCACCCTAAGAAATAATTTCTCCCTAACGCCTCAGAAACACCAGCGGGTCAACAGGCAAGTCTTAGAAAACAGGAATATTTGTTGTGTTGGAGTTCACGCTTCTTTTGTCTGTCAGAAAGAAAAAAAAAAAAATCCAGTCTATGGCCATACGGCCCTGAACGTCTGATCTCGGAAGAAAAAAAATTCCAAGTTTACTTCTCATTGATCTCTAATGACTCTTAGTGGTCCTTGAACGCCACTGCCTCAGAACTAAGTGTTCTGCCGGTGAGTCTTCTAAACGCACAAGATCAGAATGAACATCACACGCTCGTCACCACGCTCATCTTGGGGCTCCAGGCCACTGTCTACTTTTAAACCCTAACCACCAAGATATGGGCCTGAACACAGTGTGAACGAGTGAGCACCCTCCTGGGAGAAGGCCCAGAGACTTCACGTCTGATTACCTGCTATCAGCATGGCCTGATTCCACCCAGCTGTCACCGTGAGGACCCCGGGCCTGATGCGCACCCTGCGACACCGAACAGAAATGCGGGTGACTGAGCTAGGGTTCTCGTCCTTGCTGAGCACATGAACGTCCAATCCCAGACTCGCTAAGATGCCAGCTTTCAGCAGGGAGCCAGGGGCCCTTGCTCAGTAACACCACAGAGAACGCTGAGTCCCATCCGATACCACGACCTCCCATCTCAAGGCGCCCTGAGGGTATAGATGGATGCCAACGTGGCCAGGGCAGCCACAGCTGCACCCACGTGGGGGCGGTAGTGAGTGGAAGGCGGCTTCCACAAGGCCACTGGTCCACCTGAGCGCGCCACAATGCTGCTGCTCCTGTCCACTCCCCGGCCGCGTCCAGCACCCAGGGGACGTGGCCGCCTGGGCTCCATCCCCATTCACACTCCGCCATCTGACTTCCTGCCCCGGGGAGTGTTAAGCATCTTACTTACGAGAGCCAGGCCAAGTCCAAGATGCCCTTTGTCTGAGCCTCTGAAGACACTGAACAAGCTATCAGTCATAGACATGGTCAGGCCCTGTCTCTTACGCCTTTTGTCACCCTGGGCACAATATGTAACCACTTGCCACCGTGCGTCTTTTCTAAAAGGGGCTCTCCCAGGCCTCTCCCCCTCATTGCAGCTGGCCAAAGGAATAAATGCACCATTACACGTCAAGTGTTCCTGGCAGTTTCTGACACACATTTTTCAAGCACTTACTGTTGTTGCTACACTAATAAAACCGCTGCTGCCGCCGAGGAAGCCCCTGCGGAAACTGCCACAAGCACTACCATTCCCACGTTTATGAACCGCTGCTGCTGTGGCTGCTGTTACCACGGAGGAGCACCAGTACTACTACCGCTGAGGACAAGCTCCCACGGTGGCCAGGGACGCTCCCCGCCACTTCTCCGCCATAACTACCCATCCTCCTGAAAGAGAGGCCCGGCCAGCTCTCTACCGGCGGCCTTCAGCACCCCCGTCCTAGGTGCCTGTGATCTCCCTACGGTGAGGCCTCACTGGGGCAATATCCCCTGCACCACGGAGGGGCCGATCCTCTCTCGGGGGGAACCCAGCTCCTGCGGCTCTACCTGTGTGATGGCTTCTCCCAAATTCTGCCCAGTAAAGGCCTGTAGCTCATGTGGAGCCGGGCTCTAGTCACCACCTGGGGCTGGGAGACGCCACGCCGAGGAGCCAGCAGCCCGTGACAGCAAGGAAATCTGAAGCTCGGCTCAAACCCAGGGCCATGGGCCACCCTTTGGGGGCCACCTGTCCTCAGCCTCTCCGGCACCTGGTAGCCACGGGAAACAAGAGCACCCAGAGCGGAGGGAGGCCTGCTCCAGGATTCCATTGCGCACAAGCCCCGAGGCCACTCACCCCATCCACCCACAGCCAGACACGGCGCGGGCCACAGGCCCATGCCCGAGGCCCCAGGTGTTCCTGGCAAGCAGAAGTCATGAGAGCGCTGCGGCGAGGTCCACAGTGACATTCGGTCAAGAAACGCTGCACACACAGGCCACAGTGACACCGGCCTACCACCCCGCTCATTTCAAACTGACGCGTCCACCTGTGCACGATCACCGCCAGGCTAGACAGCCTGCGGGGCTCAGCGCCCTGCCAGCCCCTGGTTGGGGCCCCCAGTTTGCACCTCCACCCCCCCTTCAGCGGGCCCCAGCAGCACCCCGGCGGTGGCAGCGGCGCCCTCTCAAAGCAGGCTCTCTGTCCACATACCTCTCTCCACCCTCTAGCACACAGGCCAACCTGCTTTTGCCATCAACAAAATCTTCAGTCTCCCAGGACCACGCAGCCTGCGAGCTGACAGACTCTTGGTTTTCTCCAGCCGTGCAGGGCAGAGCTCCCCTCCCTACTGCCTACCTGCTGCCCAGAGGGCCCTTCACCACAATGAGCCTTTTAAGCAAGAGCTCTGCCCCGCCACGTACAAATCACCTGGCCCACCCATCTGCCTCCTGTGACAACTCACCGCCCTTCTGCAGCTAAAACAACTGTTGCATAGCGAGCAACCGCGACGTCTCCCCCGACTAATCCCATGCCCACGGAGGGCCACCAACGTGCCGAGGGCAGTTCTAAGGCGCCCCACAGAGTATGAGGTAGGGGGGCAGATTTTCAGCAGGCCTCCCCAGAACAGGCAGGCTCAACACGCTGAGCCCCCAGGGAGAACAATGTCTTCCTGGAGGACCTTCATCAAGGCCCTTCAGGGGCATGGAGGTCACTGAGCCTATGGCTTTCTGCCTTCGGCCCTGCACTGCACATCCCCTTCCACACTGTTGGCCAGGCCAGGCCCCCGAGACCCCACCTTCCAACTAGCAACCAGGAACAAGGAACCAGAATGGGGGGCACACATTCTCGAGAATTCACGGTGAAGCCAGAGCGCCTGCAAAGAGCAGCGTTTGCTCATGGTACCGACCGGCTGCAACGGCGGCGGCAGCCCGAGACTGCGCTCCTGGGCGCTCCGGCCGACTCCCGCCCAGGTGCAAGGCCCCACTGCTGCCTTCCTGGAAGGGGAGAGGTGACAACACCCGCTTGGAAGAGTATTTGTCAGATTTGGCCTGGTTCACTCAACAGTTATTTGCTGAGCAGCTGCAAATGTCGTCAGTTATTCTGGATGCTGGTCCAAAGGTACTGCCTCCAAACCAGAAACACATGTTCCTTGAGGTTGAAGGATCTTCCCTCGGTCAGGGTTCACTCATTTGTATCATTTACAAGCATCAACAGTGCCTTGACCTGGTGTAGCATGTCTTTCCTTTTCACAACACTCTATTTTAATTAGTTAAAAATAACAATAATCCCTGAGGTCCAGTCACTTAAGTACTTGCCCATTCTAATGAGGAACATGGCCGACAGCTGAGCGACGTCATGTTTCCTAGACACGTCTCAGCCTCAGGCCTTCACTTGCCTCTCCCCCTCCCCTCCTCCTCCCCTCCCTCCCTCCCGCCCCATAGTTGCATCCATGGAAATGCCAGCCACACCCCCGAAAAAGTAATTCACTGCAGGTAAAAGCTTTTACCTCGATTAACGTAAAAATTCCCAAAACTAAATAGGATTTCCAGTAACACTTGATGATTGCTTTTGCTAAAGAGGGCTTCTGGGTGTCATTCTCAGCTCTCAAAACTTCTTTATCCCAGTACCTGCCAATGAGAAGCAAAGCACAGTGAGAACCAGTACCTTCTGACACAAGGCAAACTGGGGCAGGGAGTGGAGGAGGAGGGACCTGCCCGCCACCGGGCCTTGCGTGGCTGTCCCAGCAATGATGGCTGACCGTCTGCAGGACAGTGTGTGGTACAGCCCAAGACGGCAGGCAGGAGGACAGACAACTTCCCCCAGTGACAGCTCCTCCCCAGGCAGTTCTCGCCCCCAGGGCCTTTGGGGGGGCCCCTCTGCTTCCACAAATGCACAGGAAATAGGTTTCACACCCCCTCCCCCACAGCCAGCGCAGGGACAGCCTGAGGGGAAGGGAGTGTCCCATGGGGCGGCGGAGGGAGCAGACTCCCGTCCCAAAGGCAGGCAGCACCCCCTCCAAACCATTAGCCACCCACTTGAGAGGCTCTCCCTCCTCGCCCCCTCCTGCCTGCCTGCTGCCTACCTTTGCAGCTCTTCTCCAAGGTGCTTTGAGCGATCTTCTGGAAGCACTGAATACATGTCATCTTCTTCTAATCTCCGTTTGTGACCAATTTTAAACAAGGGGTTGAGCCACCTGTTGAAAATGAAGAGAGAAGGAATGACATCCCTCCAAACATACCCACAGGTCTAGTCAGGACCCTACTTTCATGAGTTTTGTTTTTTTAAAGTCTACTTCTTAAATATGTAGATGTGGGCAGGAAATGAGATGTTTCAGACACATGTTCATACACCCACACAGCACCCCCACCCCCGCCCCGTCGCCGCGAGGGCCTCGAAACGACAACATGCCCTCCAATGTCAAAGGACACTCTGTGCCCAGGTCACGGTTTTTTAACACCCTTCCTCCCATAAAGGAACCAGGGCTCCTTGAAGAAAGGACTGACTCCAAGGTTGGGCCGGTGTCGCAAGCACCTGAGAATTACTAGCTTTTTCTAACTGTAGTTTAAGTGCCTGATATTAAGCTTTTGATTGCTGAGGCATCCACTTCAAAGACATTCAACTCACACACAGGGCCAGCTACAGGACCGGATAAGAAGCCAGGCCTCCCTCCCATGACGCTCCCCTTTTCTCTTCCAGAAAACTCCGCTTGGCCTTGATAACTGACCATTTGGCTTTTCCCGTCCTGCGCTTTAATTCCCACACCTGTGTTTTAATTTAATCAATTAAGAACGAACCTGCAAAACCCCAGGCACGCCACCTGCAACCCCCATAAAGGCAGAACCCCCAGATCACACGCAAGATCTCTCCCCACCCCCCAACTCCAGGCCCTTGCTGTGTGGCCCCAGGCACGCCTTATACCCTCCAGGAATTGTGAGTCAACACCTTGACTTTCTTTTTTTCAAAGCTCCCTGGTGATCGCTGTTGAGGAGCGGCTGGCAAGCTTAAGAACCCCAAGGGCCGGCCCAGCCACAGGCCGGCTCCTAGAGGGGAAAGCCTTGAGGACTCACCTCCAGCCCAGCGGAGGCCCGGTGAGTAGTACCCCAAGCAGCCCTGGCAACGGCATCCCTGCCCGGCGACGAGACTAACACAGAACCGGCAGGGGAAGTACAAGGCGGGCCTGAAACATCTTACGCCATGAAATAAGGAAGAGCTCAAGGAGTCGTGACGGTATGCCCAAAGGACAGGGGAGCCAGGCTGCCGGGCTCCCACAACACAAATCTCGGACACACTGAGCACAGAAATAAGTAAACGGCAATGAGTCGTAACCCATTAAATAAGAAGAGTCCGTGCACAGACCCTTACTTCTATGTAAACGGGGGAGAAGGGAAAGCTCTTGCATTCTCAAATGCAACGATATATATTGAAGGAACAGTGGAGTTGGAAATTATCAATGGAAGTCAAAACCAGTGAGTGAAAATCTGATGTGGACGAGAATAGTCACATCAACTCAAATTATATCGCCACTGATTTTTTTTTAAATTTTTATTTATTTATTTTTATAGAGAGGGAAGGGAGGGGGAAAGGTAGGGAGAGAAACATCAATGTGAGAGAGAGAGACATCAACTGGTTGCCTCTTGCATGCCCCCAACTGGGGACCAACCTGCAACCCAGGCATGTGCCCTGACCAGGAATTGAACCAGTGACCTCTCAGTTCACAGGCCAATGCTCGATCCCCTGAGCCACCGCAGCCAGGGCCTGACTGCTTTTAAATTATGAAAGAAAAAGCAGTAACTTTATAAAGCACCCCCAAAACCCTAAGAAAATAACCCTATTGAATAAAAACCCTATTTTTTAAAAAAAAAGTCATTATCCATTATGCATTATTTAAATGGTAATGATTAATCTGCAGAGTCAGCCCGAAGATGAACATCATTTTCCTGCTTTTGCCAGGTAAGGAAACTTCTGAAGCCAGACAGCAACCCGTGAAAGCAGAAGTCACGTTCCTCTCTCTCATTTATCGCTCTCTCCCCAGCACAGTGCTAGATGCGGAGGAGGTGCTCAAGAGGTGTGTGTTGAACAAATGAGCATCTATGAGTCCTCTGGGGAGGAAGAAGAGAGACTGAGCTCCAGGCTGTGCAACTCGGGCAGCCTGGCACCTTGAAGGAGCCCGAAACCAGGGGCCAGAAGGCTGGATGCTGCCCCCTGCGATGGCACTGAGGACCCCTGAGTCCCCAGGGCCTCGATCACTGCCACCCCCACTTCATTTCTACAAGGTCCAGATTGTGCACCTCCACGACTTCTTGCCAGTCATTGGACATCGCCAGGTCTCAAAGTCCTTCCAAAGCAAAAGGATAAGTGGGTGAGCTTTACCCACCCCGTGTCAGGCCATTTATGATACAGCCATTCCCTGCAGACAACGTTCGGGCAGTCGGCGCCAGAACTTACCCAGGCGACGAGGCCAGCCAGCCCTGAGAGGCCCCTACCCTGTGAAGTCCCGCCTGGCCGGGAAGAGATGCTCCACATCGCTAATCATTACAGAAGCACAGATTAAAACCACAATGCAATGACCACCTCGCTCACACCCCACCTGCTCTGTGTGGACTTCCACAGCCTGCACAAAGGGCAGCCCAAACCCCAGCGGCTCTCTTGTCTTCTGGAACCTTCCTTCCTCGGGACTGTGTTGCACAGATTAGGGACGGGCTCCCAGGCCTCCACGATGCCCAATGACTGTGACCCTGCATGTGTCATCCTCACATTTATTTGGCCAGTCTGGCCCCCGCAGGCCACTGAGGTGAGGCTCAGACTAATCCCTAGGAGACACCTGTCCATCCCCTGCCATCAGATACCACCTAAATGCCCCCCAAATCCAGACCTCTGTGGCTAAGTGCCTACTCTCCATCTCCTTGCCACCAACAGGCTTTAAGGTCCGACCAAAACCGTTCTTCCCCTTCTCTGTAAATGGCTGCCCCATGAAGCCCACTGCTCCGACCAGAAACCTGGCAGTTGCCCTCAGCGCGCCCCCTCCCCTCGCCCCCCAAACTGCCACTTCCAAATTGCCGCACGCCCCCACGCACTTCCCAGCGTCTCTGCCTTCCCCGCCGAGGCCCAAGACGCCATCAGTTTCCAGTGCGGCCACAGCCTGCTATCTGGCCTGCCTGCTTCCACCCTCCGACCTCTCTATAGAAGAGCCAGAATGATCTCTTAAAATTACAAGACCATGCTGTCACCGCAGAACGCTGCCAAAGCGCCTGCCGGGGTGTCATTCATGGCCAAGTCCCTCCTAGCTCAACACCCCACGTCCTGCCCTCCCCCTGCCACGTCCTCCGACTCCCTGTCCCAGCCACGCTGGCCTGTTTCTGATTCCCTCTTCTAGGAACAAGTACGTTGCCCCGTCTCCTCCCACGACAGCACCGGCTCTGCTCCGGGTCTCAATCCAATTGTCTAGGGCCTGGGCTGTCTCGTCTAAAAGCACCAAACAGATCCTGATACCCTGATTTTATACCTTATTTCCCTCTTTGACCTTTCTTTCCCTATTTACTACAATCTGTTTTGTGAGAGAAAAAAATAATCCCCCCGTCTTTACTTTGTCCATCTCCCCTCCAGAACGAGAGCTCCCTGAAGAGAGAACGGGTTTTCTGTGCTGCAGCTGGGCCTGGCACACGGCACTCGCCCGTGACCCACCTAGTGCACTCCACACGTGCTGGCGAAGAAACGACTGGCTCTCCTCCAGCCAAGAACACTCGTGCACACAACCCTGTCTACGCCCGCAGGCAAAGGGAATATGCAGGTCAGTTAAAGTCAGCAAATCATTCAACAGATGCCCTAGCCCCACTCAAGTTAAGTCATTTACTGTTTTGAAAGGCCACTGTATTTTAAAGGACTTCTAGTGTGTATAATACACACTTTTTTGCCCAAGTGTGAGGGGGAAATTAGGGTGCGCATTATACATGGGTACGATGGTTACATGCCATGGCTATAGTAATGCCATGTATAATGCGCACAAACACACGAGTGTTGTGTTACACGAGGGAGCGCGTTATACGCAGCAAAATACGATCTGTGGTTGATTTTTTCCCCCTGGAGATTTTGCTAGCCCTGGTCACTGGAGGCTCTGTCAGGACAGGGCACCCTGGGTCAGAGCATCAGAAGGAATCCAAGAACAGGGACCGGGTGCAGGACAACGAAGAGGTGCACACGCGCAGGTCCCACCGTCCCTCGGCAGAACCTCCTTCCCCTGAGGCAGGGTTTCTCAAGCTCGGTTCCAGCGGCTGTGGGCTCGTTTGCTGTGGGGCCGCCCTGCGCACTGCACTCCATCCTTAGGGTGCCGGCACCACCTCCCAACCCCAGGCTGTGGTGACCTAACATGTCCCCAGACATTGCCAAGGTGGCAAAATCTCCTGGATCAGAAACACTGACCCGCTCATTTCATCTTGCTGGAAAAGCCACAGGACTTTACTTCAAATGCTGGCCCCAGAGAGGAGCTACAGGACCCTGGCAGCGGTCGCTTAGGCACCAAACCAAGGATCATGGCACAAACCCATTACTGCGTTCTCTGGTTCAACGGCCCTCCAGGACCTCACAGTCCAGTGGGCAAGGGACCTACGCAAAGCATTACAAAAGGTGGCCAGTGGGGTTGCGCACTATGCTCAGGATATGCTGCTTGGCTTTCTTGAGGTCTCTGTAGAGGTAAGGGATCAATACCCTGGCTTGCCAGTGACCCAGCTACTGTACAGCAGCAGTTCTCCAAGTGTGGTGCCCGAGCCCCGCCAGCATCCCCTGCCTTGTGAGCAATGCAAACTCTCAAGCCCCACCCAGAACCTCCAGGAGTGGAGCCCAACAGTCTGCTTCTCACCCAGTCATCCAGCTGATGCTGATGCGGGCCCACATGGCAGAACCTGCCGCAGGCAGAGTGTGCTTTCCAGGCCTCGCCTGGTACTTACGGCGACAGTTCCAACCCTGGCTAAACCTCAAGTCCCAACCTCAGCTCAGGGAGTCCTAAGACCAACAGGCATCTGGAGCCCCATCCCAAAGGACTGAGTCAGAGTAAGCCAGGATGCAAACCCAGCTGGAGGCCTTTTGGACTCCCACCCCCAGCCCCAGCCAGTTCTCGTCATTGGCCAGGTCTGGGGTCCATCTGCACATGGAAGAGAGGAAAACCTGTGCAGCTGCCCAGGGGTTGGGGGAGGGCTTTTC